TTTCTAAGAAGTTTATTACTTTAAAGCATCTATTAAATAATTAAGCATGCATAATTAAAGCATAGTCAAAAGAAAATTTAGAGGAGAGAATCTGCAGATACTTTCATTCTAGGTATGAGATAGCACTTCAGTTAGAATCTAAGTTTAATTTTGAGATATCTGTCAGCAAAGGCAAAATGGCATGATACAGTTTTCAGTTCATGACAAAAGCATAACTCTGAATTCATTTGGAGGGTCTTCCTGGGCTGACATCGGGGAGAACTTCATTTCACTCAAATGTAAGGATCTTGGATAAAATAGTAGATAAGGTCTTTAGCTTTAGTTTTACAAGATAAACTCTTCAAATTGACTGATTACACATTTTTGTACACTTGCCTTTCCATAAGGCAAAGATTGCATAATATTAGGCAATGATTTGAGGAAGGTGTCTCTGCAGGATAGTAATATAAATTTAACCTAATTAGAATATAAACTCCCATAATCAGAAAAATGGACATTTTCATGTCCCTTACATTTTCAGAAACAATATACTATATCATAAAGCTTTTATCAAGAGCATACTAACAGTTAATTCCTGCTAAATTAGCCAGTGAATAAAAGAGTACAAGAAGTCTGTTTCTGAGTAATGATTCAGGATTTTAGAGCCAGAGGACAAGTTACTGAGAAGGTAATCTGGTTTAAAATTTTTAACCTGACCCACAATTATCCTTAAACTATTCAGTTTTTTTCTATGTATAAAAGAATATTGAATCTACTTAAAAAGGCTGTAAGCACAGTAAATATGAAGAGCTTTTTTAAGAGTTAGTTGATAAAACTAATTTTTGAGTTGAAGACATGCTATAATCATTATATTAGAAAACTATTTTATAATCAGCATATAACAGAGGTTGGTATGTGAGAACAAAGGAAAAATACCTTCTCATCTTGAACTCTTTTTAAAGAATTATTATTACGCTTCAATATAAAAATCTTCGATGTAATGAGTTGCCAACTTATTCAACAGTAAAGTTAATCAGAATCAATATGAAGGAATAAAACCTTCAGTTGGTTTAGAGAAGAAAGATACGCAGTTAAGATCAAAATCCAAACTAAAGAGCCATATTGATTGCCCCATTGTTTGACCTTCCAGTTAGAAATTGAGAACATTTGGGTGTGCACAGCATTATTCTATCAGCTGCTTTTCATTCTATGTTAAAGGGAAAATACTTTAATGTGACAACACTGTGCTACATCAAGTGGTCCCAGCTGATACATATGGAAAGTGACTCTCCAATAAAATGTGATGAGGACAGACATGTGGCTGGGCAAGAGGAAAATAAATACTCTTTACTTGGTAGCAATTCGCATTCTTGTCCCCACTTGGAATCAAGCCTGGTTGCAAAGACATGAGTTCCAAACAGTAAGAGAGATTGAAATGTCCACTAGGTCACTGTTAGCACTGCACAGAGCTCAGCCACCAACCAGCAGCAGCAGCGTGGAATTCATCACCCCAGACCTTCTCCACTTACACCCACCTCTTCTCCCTTCTGAGACAATCCATCGTTCCACTGCCTCAAACCCAAACCAGCTCTAAGCCTTGGAAATGGCACACAACCTTAGTGTACAAAGCACTTCTTATCAACTGCTCTCTTTAAAATATAAGCTGTCCCTTCGAAAGCTATACACATTCATTCAAAAATTGTGTAAAATTTACAAAAATTGTTTAACAGAAAAAATGTGACGTTAATATAACATTTTAAAACAAACATACATCTACAGTTTTTAAAGTACATTTGTCTTTATCTAATGAAAACAGGATCATTGGGTAATATTTGGGACTCTAGAGGCAGATGAACTGAGGCTAAGTTCTGGCTCTGTCTCAGACTGGTGGGATAACTTTGGATCAGTTACATAACTCCTCTGTTCTTCAGTTTCCTAATCTGTAAAATGTGAATTAAAAATGGCTCAAATTTCAGAGGTTGTGAAATATCAGCAAAAAGCAGTAAACAGTGACAGGTACATAGAAATTGCATGCTAAATATCATCTATTTTAGTCTTATTTTAATTTATATCATCTTAATCACTTCTACGTTAAAAATATATGGAAAACATCCCCCCATGTAATAATCAATTCACCTACATAATTTAGAATGGTTCTTCATTTTATGAATATTTGATAATTAAGTTAACTAATCCTCTGTTGTAACAAATTAAGATTGTTTCTGATTTTTAAAAATTGTAAACACTGTGATAAATTTATACTTAGATATCTTTATGCATCCGTGATATATTTCCAAAGATAAATTCCTTGAGATAGAATTGCTGAGTCACAGGAGATGGCTATTTTTAAGGTCTTTGCAAGTATTGCCAACTTACTCTCCTAAAATGCTACATTAATTTACACTCCCAGCCTCACTGAATGAGCCTGTCCACTTCCCTGCTACCTCACCAACCCTAGACATTTTTATTTACTATACAGCAATTTCATAGAAAGAACATAGCCTCATGTTGTTTTAATATGTAGCTTTTTATAACAAATGAGATCGAA